GTCTGGCCTAGAAGGAAGTTTGGATTTTGCTGATGTGATTTTCTCCAAATTCTAACTCTTCTGACACAAGGCTCTCTTGAAAACGTTGAGATACTAGACATTTTCTGTAATTTCTCATTTCATTCTCAACCTTCAGTCTTCCCTGTGTGCCTGCTTCATCTTCTCTTGGATCTAGTAAGCCGAGAAATTGTAAAAGGTTTATAACACCATGATTCTATCACATGTATGAAAGACATTGTGCTGGGCTTGCATCACCTTTTGTCTTATGAGAGATAAAAAAGAGAGAAGTAGGCAGAGTGCTGGGACCTTAGCACCACCAAGAAAGATTGAAGGTAGAAGATAGCCTTTGGACCTCAGTCTCTGTATGCTGAGAAGTTGCTTGATGCAGGGAAAGGCCAACACTTATGGAAATCTCCAAGGTGTGCCACTTTGGACACTTATGGAAATCTCCAAGGTGTGCCACTTTGGACACGTGTGCTGTCAAGAACCTCTTTAAAGTATTAAAGGGCAAAGATGTCAGTTTAAAGCCTAAGCTGAGTCTGATTCAAGACATGGCATTTTCAATTACTTTGTATGCATGTGACAGTTGGACAATGAATAAAGAAAATGAAAGAAGAATTGATGCCGCTGCTCAGTTACGGTGTTGATTCTAGAACGTACCATGGACTGACAAAAGAACAAAGGTGTCTTCAAAGAAGTACAGCCAGAGGGCTCCTTAAAGACAGGGAGAGTGAGACTTCATCTTATATAATAAAGTATTCTATTGGTTTTCATTGTTGTTGTTGTTATGTGTCGTTGAGTCATTTGCGACTCATAGCGACCCTATGTACAACAGCCCTAAACCCTGCTCTATCTTGTGCCAATCGCATTGCCTCTGACACACCCATCCCGAGTACCCCGTCACTGAATCAATCCACCTCATAGAGGGTCTTCCCCTCCTGCTCTGTCCCTCTACCCTACCCAGCATGATGTCCCTCTCCAAGGACCTGTCTCTCCGTACAACATGTCCAAAGTATGTCAGACAGAGCCCCAGAATCCTTGCCTCCAAGGAGTAGCCTGGTTTAACCCTCTCTAGGATGGATCTGTTTGTTCTCTTGGCAGTCCATGGAACATTCAATACTTTTCTCCAGCACCACAGCTCAAAGGCGCCAATTCTCCTTTTATCCTCCCTAGTCATTGTCCAACTCTCTGATGCATAACAAGTGATTGCAAAGACTATGGCCTGTATCAGGCTCACCTTAGTCTCCAGAGAGACACTGTTGCTCTTGAGTACTTTAGAGAGGTCCCTAACCGCAGAATTTCCCATTGCAATACGTTTTTTGTTTTTTTTTTTAATTTCCTGGCTGCTGGTGCCAAGAGTGTTGACCGAAATGTCTTTAATCTGCTCTTCTCTGTAAAATGCTTGTCTGTCAGATAATATTCTAAATCTGAGCAATCAAATTAAGACAGACTAGAAAAAAGGAGGCCTTTGAAACAGCAGGCCTCTGAAAACCCTGTGTACAGCAGAGCACACTTAGAGTAGCAGATATGGTGACTGGAGGCTGAGCCTTCAAGCATGGAAACACATAGGAGTGATTGGAACATGGTGTGTAAGAACCATGAATGTAGGAAAATTGGATATTGTTAAAAGATGCCAGTCCTTGGAAAAAGACATAATATTTGGAAAAGCAGAGGGTTGATGAAAGAGAAAACGACCTTTAGTGAGACAGGTTGACACGGTGATTGCAACCACGGACTTAAGCACAGTGGACGTTATGAGAATGGCACAGGATCTGTCAAGATCACATCTGTTGTACTTCATGTTGAACTTCACCGTGTACTTTCATGTTGGATTTCATCCATTGTAAGTTGGAGTTGAGTTGTAGCATCTAACAAGAAGAAGCCTGAGCTTACAGGAGCTCAAGGAAATCAAGACTTTCCTCGAGCACCAACAAGAAGAAAATGCCCTTCCCTACAGCAAGCACTCTGATTTTGGACGCACAGCCCCTGCACCCTGAGAAAGAAAACAAAAATTCTCTGTTATACTGCATGATGCCACTGTTGCAGAACGGGATTGACGTGAAGGTTGGGGTGTGACGGAGAAAGATAGGATACATTATGTATACCACATTGAAACAGATGAGGGAGAGAACAGTTTAAAAGTGATATATGAGTGGGTATTATGGTTATGACAATAGTCCAGAATGAAGGCTGCATAATGGAGTGTACTGGGGGACGAGGGGATTTTATACCAATGGAAGAATTTTTCTTTTACTTTTCAAAGAGAAGAATGAACTGGGGTGGGGGGAGTGGGCAGGGAGAAAAAGGCAACAATGAATGAATGGAAATCCAAAATCTCTCTAAACATTCATTAAAATTAATAAAATAAAGTAAAAATTCTCTTTGTCAAAGCCATCTCCTTGAGTCCGCCATAGGTGCTCTCAATAATCAAAGGATATGTAATTGGTTTGGAGGCTTGATGCATTACTTCTTCTGGAAGCATCTCCACAGTCTCCCCTGGGCTAGGAGATGCAGCCGTGTATTCTTTGTACCTGTGTTTACCTTGTGACATTGGAGCTTCAAGCGTGAGTCATCGTTTTACCCTCAGCTCTGAGTATAGCATCTAGTAAGTGCTCAGTAAGTGGCATTTAGGACAAGGCAGATAGAACCAATTCAAGCAGGACTGGCTTTTGGTCAAGATGATTGAAGATACACTTCACAGGTAATTAAATCCCAACATAAATACTAAGAATTCAGAAGAATAACATCCCAGGAATGAGGCTGATAACAAAGATAATCTGTTTACTGTAAAAGACCAATTCTATGAATGTTGATTTGTTATTGTTATGTGCCAGCAAATCACCTGCAACTCATAGCAACCCGACTTACAATAGGTCTGAACCCTGTCCTATCCTGAGCTAGGCTCACTAACTCTGGCATACCCGCCCCCATTGCTGTTGTTAAATGTTGTCGAGTTGCTTGCCACTCATATTGACTCTATGTACAACAGCCCTTAAACCTGCTCTGTCCTGTGCCAATTTTACTGTCTCTGACACATCTACCCTCACTACCCCAGGCACTGTACCAATCCATCTCATCAATGGTCCCCTTCTCTTTTTTTGGCCCTCAACCCTTCCAAGCATGATATCACTCTCCAGGGACTGGACCCTCTTTGCAACATATCCAAAGTACGTCAGACGAAGACCCCTCTACAACTATCAACAATTATCAAAGTTCATAGAGTTTTCAGAGACATGTTATTTAGGAAGTAGATGCCCTCCTGCTTCCAAGTACATTCCATACAGTTGCTAAATATTGTTTGTTGTATTTCCCTAAATTGTGATAGTAAAATCTTGCTTATTCACTCACTGAGTGAAATATCTCAGTCACAACAGGACAAATACTGCATAGTACCACTGTTGTAAAATGGGACTGACATGGGGTTGGGGGTAGACTGAGAAATATGGAATAAATTATGCATACCGCATTGAAACAGATGAGGGAGAAAACTGTTTAAAAGGGACATATGATTAGGTATTACTGTCATGACAGGAGTCCAGAATGAAGGCTGCGTAGTGGAGTGGACCTGGGGGGAGGGATTGTATAACAATGATAGGATTCTTCTTTTACTTTTCAAAGAGAAGAATGAACTGGAGGGGAGGGGTGGGCAGGCAAGAAAGTGCAGCAATGAATGAATGGAAATCTAAAATCTCTGTAAATTTTCATTAAAATTAATAATAAAAAATAAAACGAAAAGCCCCCTCCCTCCAAAATCTTGCTTATTAAGTACATGTGTGTTGAGAGCATTGTTACTTGGTGTTCCAAACAGCTGTCAGTGCAGCGCCTTTCCCACTTGCTGCCATTGTTGTTGCTAAGGGCTGTAAAGTCGAGTCTGACTCATAGTGACCTTATGAACAATAGATCCGAACTCTGTCCTATCCTGCAGCATCCTTATCATCTCCAACACATGTGAGTCCATTGCCACAGACATTGTATCAATCCATCTCCTTGAAGGCCTTCCTCTCCTTTGCTGACCCTTCACCTTTCCAAACATGATGCCTGTTTCCAAGGAATAGCCCCTCCTAACTACGTGTCCAAAATATGCGAGAGGAAGTTTCACCCTCTTTGTGTCTAAGGAACATTCTGATTGCACTTTCTCCGTTCTTTTGGCAGTCCATAAGATATTCAGCAATCTTTTTCAACACCACAGATCAAAGGCATCAATTCTTCTCTTGTTCCTTATTCATTGTCTAGCTCTTAGATACACAGCAGGTGATTGGAAAGACTGGCTTGAATGAGGTAAACCCTAGTTTTTAAACTGACATCATTCCGCAGGACCTTGAAGACATCCCTGACAGCAGACTTTTCCAGTGCTATCTACCTCCTTAACTCCTGACTGCTGGTATTAAAAATGTTGACTGTGGATCCAAGCAAGAGGAAATCATTGGCAATTTCAATCTTGTCTCCATCTATCATGATGTTGTCTATTGACACAGTAGTGAGAATTTTTGTTTTCTTGGCATTGAGATATGATCCATATTGAAGGCTGCAGTCCTTGATTTTCTGCAGCAAGTGTTTCAGGTCTTCCTTACTTTCAGTTAGCAAGGTTGTGTAATTTGCTTAATGCAGGTTGTTGATAAGCCTTCCTCCAATCCTGATGCCCCACTCTTCTTCATAAAGTCCAGCTTCTCAAATGATTTGCTCAGCATACAGATTGAAAAGGTATGGAAAGAAGAAATAGTTCCGACATACACCTTTCCCAGTTTTAAACCATGCAGTGTTCCGTTGCTCTGTTTCGACAATTGCTTCTTAGTCTAAGTATACAGATCTCATAAAAGCATAATTTGTTGTTCTGGATTTCCCATTCTCCTCGAAGTTAGCCATTAGCCCCTGTAGAACGAGTTCACCTTGTTGACCTTGACTTGCTTATTCCCTAAGAAAATTCCTTCAGAAACATGACAGCTCGGGGGGCTCTGGGTTATTGAGAAGTGCCCTGATGTGTTTGCTTATCAAGTCTTTACTCACTTTATTTATTTCTGCCAGTCTTCCTGGTGTTTTCCAATGTTTCCCCTCTATGGGCATAGAGACCGTGGTATCTACTGGAAGGTCCATCACATGCTTGAAATAGCGTGTATCTGTGAAAAGGGTTAAAATACTGAAGTTAGACCTTACAGAGACTTAACATATTACAATTTTGAAGAGAAATATACATTCATTAATATAATTAAAAACTAACCTAAAACATTGGTGTTTACTTGAGAACAACGCATGATGATTTTATGTATAATAGAGTGAGACACAGCTCTATTTTGTCTATAATATTTGTAGATGCAGATCATCAGGTCTTTGTTCCATGACTCTACTAGTTGTTTGCATCACCGACATTCATGTTCAAGTTCAAATGCAAAAGTCAAACTTAAACTCACTGCTTATGAGTTAGTTCTAATGCACAGTGATACATCCTTGAATTTCTGGGGCTATTTTTCTCCTTTGTAGTCAATAGTGGCTTCAAACCACCCAAGGGCATACTGTTGTTGTTGTTGTTTGGTGTCGTCGAGTCATAGACGACTCATAGCGACCCTATGAACGAACAGCCTGAGCACTGTTTGTACATAGAGTTTCTGGAGGCAAGCCATTTCGGAAGTGGATGCCGCTCCTGCTTCCAGGGCTTACTAGCTCACTAAATTTCTACAATGTAGGTAGGTATTAGTGAAGTAATTCTACCTCCACATTACAGATCCAGAGAATGTGACTTCTCTAGATCCACACAGATAAATGCCAAGGTTAATGTCTTTTATTTTCCCATCTTTCTGAGAAAATCTACTCATCCTTTGAGATTTGATTTATTGTCACTTACTTTTGAAAGACTTCCTAGATGGCATCTCCCTGCATCTACCCTGTCCCTCCTCCACTACTGTACACACAACATTTTCTATCTCACTTATCTGATGATCTGTCTGTTTCTCATATTAGACTATGAACCTCCTGAAGAGAGCAATAAAGTATTTATCTCCGTACCCTGTAATCCTAACATGGTACTTGGCTATGTAAGAAAGAGTAAACTCAGAATAACTGGATTTTCCAAACTTTGCACAATTTGAAGAAAAGTCCGAGTTAAACTCTGGACTTAAGTGAGTTTCTTGGAGCTAACCCCTGAGTTCTTGGACATCCTGCCCAAGAAAGGTGATTTTTGTATGCATGAGACCTGGCCCCGGCACGTTTCAGCTAACAATGTGACTTAGGGGAGAATGCCTGTGATGGGTCTGTGGGCTGGGTGCTGGAGTCTGAGTAGTTGAGGTGAGTCCCAGGAGCAGTGCATGCCTACGTGAATGTTGTTATGTACTGTCGAGCTGGAACCTCCCCATAGCTGATCCTCCAGCGGATTTTCAGGGCATTTAAAGTGAGAGTCCAGAAAAACTGCTCTCTGCTTGCCAAGGTTTAGATGGACTTTGCTGGGGAATGAAGTGCTTCTCTGTGAAACTCCACTGGGAAGAGAAATTTGGAATCTTGTGCTGGTTTCACCTGGACTTTGTCTCATGTACCTTTCAACTGTGCTAATATTTCTTTATCTTCAACAAACTATAACCATGAGTATATAGGGGAACCTTGGTGACATAACTGGTTAAGTTTTGGGCTGTTAACGGAAAGATCAGTGATTCAAACCCACCTGTCACTCCACAGAAGAAAAAGAAAGCAGTTTGCTCCTATAAAGATTCATATGTTTGAAATCCTGTAGGATTGCTCTCCTCTATCTTATAGGATCACTATGAATTAGAGAAGAGTGTTGAATATACCATGGACTGCTGGGAGAACAAACAGGCTTGTCTTGGAGAGGGTGAAGCCAGAATGCTCCCTGGAGTCAAGGATTCTGAAGCTTCGTCTGACATACTTTGGGCATGTTGCAAGGAGGTACTGGTCCTTGGAGAGGGACATCATGTTTGGGAGAGTGGAGGGACAGCATAGGAGAGGAAGACCCTCAATGAGATGGATTGATTCTGTAAGTGGAGTGGTGGGAATGAATGTGTTTGAGACAGCGAGGTTGGCACAGGATAGAACGACATTTAGGGCTCCTGTACATAGGGTCGCTGTGAGTCGCAAGTGACTCTATGGCACATAACAATAGCAACAACATGAACTAGGGTAAGCAGAAAAGATATCCCCTAATTACATGAAGATACATTTTTGTTTGTTTGTTTGTTTTTTTAATAATTTCTCTAAGTTCTCCAGCAAATTATTTGAGGCAACTTGGGGAAGTCCAACACATTGGCAAGAAGTAGATACTCACTAAGTACAGGTCAAATGAATGACCAAATTAACGCTGACATTATTACAAGGGGATTGTTGCCAAAGGAAACTTTGTAGAATCACTTCAAGGGGCTAAAGTGAAAAAAGCCAAAGTGATTGCCATTGAGTTGATTCTGATTCAGCGCCTCTCGGTTGCGTTTCTGAATTGGAAGAGGTTTCCTTTTTTTAGTGTGCCGTAGTATGTTGTCTGTGGTTCATAGACCTTGCTGAATTTGCCCAATATTTTTCCCAGTAAGAAATGAGGCATGAAATTAAGTCTTCCTTTTCCTTAGTACGTCTTTGCTACTGTGCTCCAGGGAAATTTCTAGGCGGATTCTAACTAAAATGAATCAACCAAGTTGAAAAGTCTTTGTTCTAATCTTACTCCTTTTCCTATGCAAACTCTAAGCTGCCCTAAGGGCATGGTGCATAATGTGTTAGTCTGCTAATCAAAACAGTGGTGATTCAAATCCACTAGTTATTGCTGAGTGAAATATCTCAGTCCCAAAAGGACAAGTACTGTATAACACTACTGTCTAAAACAGGACTAACATGGAGGTTGGGAAGGAAACTAAGAAAAGATGGGATATATAATGAATACTGCAGAAGAATGGGAATCGCAGAACACTTGATCATGCTTATGTGAAACCTATACTTGGACCAGGAGACAGTTGTCAGAATAGAGCAACGAAACACTGCATGTTTCAAAATCGATATGGGTGTACACCAGGGATGTGTCCTATACCCATACCTTTCAACCTATATGCAGAACAGGTTATCTGGGAGGCTGGGCTCTATGAGGAGAAGTGTGGTGTCAAGATTAGAGGAAGATTGATCAACAATCTGTGTCATACAGATGATACAACCCTGCTTGCTGAAACTGAGGAGGACCTGAAGCACTTGCTGCCAAAGGTCAAGGGCTGCAGTGTTCAATATGGATTGAGGCTCAGTGTCAAGAAGACAAAGATTCTCACCATTGGGCCAATTTGCAGGATCAAAACGGATGGTGAAGAGATTGAGACTGTACACAGCTTTAGTTTGCTTGGCTCCACAATTAACACTCTTGGCACCAGCAGCCAGAACATTAAAAGACTTATTGTGATGGGAAAGTCTGCTGTTAGGGACCTCTCCAAAGTGCTGAAAAGCAATGGTGTCACTCTGGAGACTAAGGTGCGCCTGATACAGGCTATGGTCTTTGTAATCACATTCTATGCGTCAGAGAGCTGGACAATGACTAGGGAGGATAGAAGGAGAATTAATGACTTTGAGCTATGTTTTTGGAGAAAAGTAAAGAATATACCTTGAACTGCTAGGAAAACGAAGAGGTTCATCCTAGAGAGAGAGTTAAACCAGGCTGCTCCTTAGAGGAAAGGATTCTGAAGCTTCATCTGACATATTTTGGACATGTTGCAAGAAGGGATTAATCCTTGGAGAAGGTCTTCATGCTTTGGAGGGTGGAGGGACGGAGCAGGAGAGGAAGACCCTCTGAGGTGGATTGATTCAGTGACTGGGGTAGTGGGGGTAGGTGTATCGAAGACAGATTGGCACAGGATAGAGCAGGGTTTAGGGCTGTTGTACATATGGTCGCTATGAGTCGTAGGTGACTCCATGGCACAACGCAACAATAGCATTGGAACAGATTAAGGAAAAAACTGTTAAAAAAAAACATACGTCTAGACATTATTTGTATGAAATAGTCCAGAGTAAGAGGTGTGTAGCAAAGTGGACTATGGGAAAGGGAGGAAGGAAGAAATTAGGCAACAACTAATGTTTGTTTTTTAAAGTGAACTTGGTGGGAAGGGAGGAAAATGTGCAATAATGAATTAAAATCCAACTTTTCTACAAACTTCTGTTAAAATCACAATGAAAAAGAAAAAAAAATCCACTAGCTACTCTGCAGGAAATCCAATGTATGATCAAGAGGCAATGGTGATGAAGGAGGAAGTTCAAGCTGCTCTGAAGTAATTGGAAAAAAAAAACAAACCAAGGCCCCAGGAATTGATGGAATATCAATTGACATATTCCAACAAACAAATGCTGCTCTGGATGTGCTCACCAGATTGTGCCCTTAACCTTCCCAAACATGATGTCCCTCTCCAAGGAGCAGCCTCTACTAGGAAAGTGCCTGAAGTATGTGAGGCAAAGCTTATCATCTTTGCTTCCAAGGAACATCCTGGCTGCATTTTCTCCAAGACATTTTTGTTTGCTCTTTTGGCAGTCCATGGGATGGTTGAAGAAGACTATGACTTGAATCAACTGCATTTCAGTCTTCAAACTGACATCCTTGTTCCCCAGTCTTGTGGAGAGGTCCTTGACAGCAGACTTGCCAAATGTAATATGTCCTTTGATATCTTGACTGCTGGTGCAAAGGGTGTTGATTGTGGATCCAAGCAAGACAAAATGTTTGGTAATTTAAATCTTTTCTTCATCTATCATTGTTTATCAGTCAAGCGGTAAAGATTTTTTGTTCTTAATGTGGAGATACAAACCATATTACAGGCTATCGTCTTTGATTTCTGCAGAAAGCATTTTATGTTCTCCTCACTTTCAGCCAGCAAAGTTGTGTCTGTTGTCTGCATAACACAGGTTGTTGATGAGTCTTCCTCCAATCCTGATGCCACATTCTTCTTCATAGAATCTACCTTCTGAAATGATTTGCTCAGCATGCAAATGGAATAGTATGGAGAAAGAATACAACCCTGATGCACACCTTTCTTAATTTTAAAGCATGCAGTGTTCTCTTGCTCTGTTCAGACAACAACTTCTTGGTCTAGCGTAGGTTCCATATGAGTATGATTAGCTGTGCTGGGATTCTCATTCTTCTCTAGAGCTGTTAAATTCAGAATCTGTGCCTTTAATCACCACGCAATACTGCAGAATGGGCATGAGTTTTGAACTTTTAGGCAGACCCCTAACGTTACCTGCATATTCAGATTCCTTGATAGGCCTGGCAGGTAAAATCTTGATTGGTTGACACTCTCCCACCATCTGAAGTTCAGGGTCTTCATACTCCTTATCTTCCTGGCCTTTTGCTCCTCCCAGGACTGCCTCAAAGTTCTTGTCCTAAGCAGAAAGTAACATGCAAGTGAGTCACAACAAGTTTCAGCAAGGAGAAAAATTACGCGCTCCAGGGCTAGCTAGAGCAGCAATATCGATTCTTGTGGTTTAAAAAATAAATAGTAAGAGCCTGGAATCTGAGACAATAAATGTGTAATTCTTGCAGTCAGCAATGTTCTAAAGATAACTGTCCATATCAAGGTTACTCAATCAATTTAAACTATTAAGAATCACTGCAGATGTCTTCAGGTTCTTTATAAGTTAATATTATTTATTTAATGATATGTTATTTTATATTTTTTGTGAAAGTTTACAAAACATATCAGGCTCACACATGTTGTTGTTGATTGCAAATGAGTCAAGCATGACTCATAGCGACTCTGTGAATGAAAGACCTGAAGCCTTTTTATAACTATCATCATTTCTCCAAGTATATAGAGCTTCCATAGGCATGTCATTTAGGAAGTAAATGCCACTCTTGCTTCTAAACCTATCTTGAACTTGGAGCTCCACCAAACACTGTTGACCTTGAGCAATTATTATGGCATCTGACAGCCCGGTGGCACAAGGTTTAGCATCACAGCAAACCCAGATTACCTCAGTAGAGCAAAGTGACAGAATAGTGATGTACAACTTAGATGTACAACATTCAAATTCTGTATTGATTTGTTCAGTAAAACTGACTACATTTTCCAAAGAGTACCAACATTTTCATTCTTTCTATTCTGATGATTCTGTTTGTGGTAATCTAGCTTCCTTGCCTCCCTTTTTACACTCTCATATGAGATGGATTGACTCCGTGACTGGGGTAATCAGGATGGGTGTGTCAGAGGCAGTGCAGTTGGCGCAGGATAGAGCAGGGTTTAGGGCGGTTGTGCATAGGGTCGCTATGAGTCGCAAACAACTCAAGGCACATAACAACAACAACAACATTTGTTTTGGGGTAAATTCTGACTGTTTACTTTTCCTTTTAAAGAATCACAGGACTTATGGGTTAAATTGTTTATTTTATGATTTAATTTCTTATTAAAGGTGACCTCCTTCTGAATTAGTATGAATGGTATCTTGAGGCCACAGACTTGGAGATTTCTGCAGCTGGCACTAGTCTAGAAATTCTGTCTCTTAATATTTTAGAAAAGAAGTTGAGTTTTGTTCTGCATCTTAATCCCCTTCTATCCAGAATCGTCTATTGTGTCCGTGATCAGAATGGTTCGTACTGGTAGACAGACACCATTGAATTGTTCTGGTCTCTTAATAGATGTAGTTTTGGTTCATGTAGACAGTCCTGAAGACTAGTTTTTTATTTGACTATTTGGCTTTTTAATTCTTTTTCACTTAAAACTAATTTGGCTTTAATCTGGATTATCCTAGTTTATATGGTTGGGCCCAATATAATCTCATAAACTCTTAAAGTTAGATCACTGGGCAGAGTGTGAACAAAATGTGAGAAAACCTCAAAAATAGAAAAATGTACAGACAGCACCGTTCACTATAGTGAACGAGATGGGGGAAAACGCCCAAAACAAAACTTTCTGTCCATCAAATGATGAATGAATAAGCAAAATACAGTGTTGTCATACGATGACATAATATTCAATGACAAAAGAATAAAGTATTGAATAAAGTACAACATGGATGGACCTTGTAAACATTCTGGTAAGTGAAATAAACACAAAAGATTTCATATTGTATAATTCCACTTGTATCACATGTCCAAACTGGGCAAATCTAGAGGCAGAAAATAGATTAATAATGGGCAAGGCCTGGGGTAAGGGCGGAATGGGATGTCAGTGAGAATGGACATGGATTTTCCTTCTGGGATGCTGAAGTGTTCTAGCATTGACAGTGATGCTGCTGCTTATAGAATTCTTTTTCCCCCTTATATAATTCTGAATTTGTGAATGACTGTTGACTCCTACTATTTATCGTGGGTGAATTGAATAGTATGTAGACAATGTAATAAAAATCTATGGGGAAAAAATCAACATATCAAAAAAAAATCAATCAAACCAAAAATCAACCAACTGGGAGAAGAATGTTAATGAACCAGAGTTTGGAGAGATTTTAACTGTGACAAGGTTTTGACAGCCCTTTTGACTTTCAATGAACTTCATTTTCTACAAAGTGAAGTTTAGGTCATGTATGGGAACCGAGGAACCAGGTAAGTTAATGAGGACAAACCCATCATATGCAAACAACTGAGATACAAGAGAAGGATGCAGTGGCTCAAGAAAAAGATAAGATCAGAGAGAAGAACATTGGCACTTCAAGAAAAAAGGGCAAGTCTCTGAGAGTAGGCCACTGTCATGGTCAAAATGATATTGAGTCTTGAGGACCCTGTAGTCCCACCAGGAAGCCCATTTTCCTTCCTTTTGTTGCAGGAGGTAAGTAGGGCTGGAACTTGGAAGTTCTCTGATGGGGAAACAGACTGCTTGATAGCAATATGACTTAGGGGTCATGCAGTCCTAGATAAAAATTTTGTGTCCACTTTCTGACTTCGTAGGATCCCTGTTATGCAGTGTCTTGAAGGAAGTGTAATCAGAGAGCTCCTTACAGGCAAGGATGGTGAAATTTGAGCTCACATAGTTTGAGCATGTTTTTAGTCTTTGGAAAAAGACATTAGGCTGGGAATGGTAGAGTGTCATTGAAAGCGAAGAACTTCAACAAGACAGGTGGACACAGGGACTGTAACTATGGGTCCCAGCACACTGGAGTTCATGAGGTTAGGTGGCACAGGATAAAGCCAGGTTCAGATCTATTGTTTTAACGGTTGCTAGGAGTTGTTTTGATGGTGCCTAGGAACGACCACCAGAGCTGAAATTGACCCTATGCAAGAGGAATTTCTCACCTTGGGAAGGTTATTTGGCTTCTCATTCTATTAAACTGAGACGCCCGAGCCTACTGCCGTTGCCTATTGTCAGAAATTAAATGAGCAAAGTTGTGCTTTGGCATCCACCACACTAACTACAGCTCAGTGCATGGTAGGTCTCTTCCCGGCAAGTGAATCTGAGTGGCCAGGGGGAAGCCAAGCTGCTGGGAGGGGGCCTCCAGGAAGCCTTCACTACCAATGGGACAAAAGAAGAAATGGGATGGCATTGTTCCTGGGAGATTTCACACCAGGAGTGAGTGCTGTGATGGAACACCTTTAAAAATTTGACAAAAATGCAGTTGTTGTAAGAACACTGTTATTACTACCACCAATGCTCCCAGTGGGTAGCTTCGTCCAGTGTGGAAAAATTATGAGCCTACTGTGTTTGTATGTTTATAACATATTGAGTGTATGTGTTTCTGGGATAACAGCTTCCATACAAAGTTATGTAACTTTAATGAAATTCTTAAAGAAGTTATTTAACAATACATCCAAAAACCAAAACCCATGTTATTAAATAGACTCTGACTGAGACTGATTCTACAGGACAAAACAGAACATTCCACAGGGTTTCCAAGTCTGTCATTTTTCTCTTTTTAATCAGCACATATTTTGGTATTTTCACATTGCTCAATCTTCGTAATCACTGTGTAGTTAATGTCTATCTCCATTTTATAAACGACAATTGGACTTCAGTCTTCCATCCAAGAGTTGAAACGATTTGGTTTTCTCCTGAGAGGAAAATATGTCATTTGGAAAAAGGTTTTGTGCGTGGACATGGTTGTTGGTTTTTGTTTCTGGGATTGTTTGGTTGTTTTTTTCCCCCCAAGTTCACCAAGTGCCTTAAAAAAAGAAAAACAAAACACTTCCTTTGAAAAAGATAAAAACTGACAAAGTAGGTAATCAGACTTACATAATTAGGAAGATGCTCATCAATAGTGTGGTACTGGCCTGCCAAAAAAAAAAAAAATAACAGCAACAGAAATCAGAACAAAATGCTATTACAATCACGGTGGTAGCTCACAGCACTGAAAATAGAGGGCTTTGGTTTTTCTCAAGCTCTCTGCTCATTTCCCTTGCCTTTGTCTGTCTGTAATTTTCCCAAACTAAAGTGGTTATTTCCTGACTTCCTCCTCTCCAGTTGCCTTTGCAGATGGGGGCAAAGGTAAAGGAGGAAAGAAAGTAAAATTCAAACCAAATAACCACTGAGCCCAGGGAGGCAAGAAGTAGTCTTTTGTGTCAAGAAGCCAAACTTGCTGCTGTTTAATTGATTCTGACTCAGCGGCTCTGTAGGACCGGGCAGAGTTACCACACTGAGTTCCCAGGCTGCATAACTTTACGGAAGCAAGGCTGCATCACTTTCCTTCTGAGAAGTAACTGCTGAGCTTGAACCACTGACATTTGGGATACCACCTCAATGTCCCACCAAGGCTCTTTGTTATTCCAAACGCCTACAGCCTTTGAAACATTTTCAACACATTGGTAATGCTCTGGTGGATTTCCAAGGCTGTAAATCTTAACAGAAGCACATGGCTTCACCTTTCTTCTAAGGAGTGGTTGGTGGGTTTGAACTGCCAACTTTTAGGTGAGTAGCTCAACATATAACCAGTCTACTACACCACCACCAGACCTCCATTGTTCCTCTTGTAGCACATTGATTTTTTTTTTAGCACATTGATTTTAGCAATGAAAGATAAACATGACATTTAAACAATATCCTACAACTATTGCACCCAAAGTCTTGACTCAGTAGCACCTCTGGTAACAAAGAGGTTTGTTTATTCTCCTTTCCCCGTTGTGTTCTGTTTGTATGATTTCAATTATCTGTCCATGCCTCTGTAGCTCTGAAGGAGTTAAAAACAAACAAACAAACAAACAAACAAACAAACAAACATAACCATTTGTTGACTCATAGCAGCCCGTGTGTGTGTGTGTGTGTGTGTGTGTGTGTGTGAGATAACTAACATAAGGCACACTCTAGCGTTTTCAATGGAATCTAGCTTTTGTTGGTGCATTCCCCATCAAACCCTCCCCTAAGCCCCTCACACATCTCTTAGAGACTCAAACCTCTAACTTTTTGGTTAGTCACTAAGTGTTTTATAATTTGTTTCACTAGAGTCTCTGTCTAAGTTTGAGTAGACTGAGAATATCTAGAGGGCAGGTGTCATGACTATTGAGATAGCCACAGATCCAGGCACAGACTAAGTGAACAAATGAGCACTTGATAAAACTTTGTTATTGGATGAACATTGTTTGGTTGAAGATTCTCAAATCTCTAATTTGGACTTGCTTTATAAAAGTTTATCAAAAGGCTATGCAAATCATTCTGTATTTTAGATTATGCTAAACTATAAAAATCTGCTATCTAACCAACAGATATTTAGTCCTGCATTGTTGTTGTTTTAGGTGTTGTCGAGTTGAGTATGACTCACAGCAACCCTGTGAACACACAGATGTGAACCTTGTCCTCCCCTGCGCTGTCTTTACCATCTCTCACATACTGGAGTCCATTGCTGCAATCACTGTGTCAATCCACCTGGGTGAAGTTCTTCCTCTCTTTCACAGTCCTTCTGCCTTTCCCAACAACAACCTCTTCTAACCACATGCTCAGAGTATGTAAGACTGCCGTTTGTGACTTTAAGAATCACTCTGGCTGCACCTTCTCTAAGATGTATCTGTTCTTTTGGCAGTCCATGGGATATTCAGGACTCTTCTCCAAAACTCCAATTCAAAGGCACCAATTCTCCTGTCATCCTTACTCGTGTCCCAACTCTAAGATGCATTGAAAAGATCATGGCCTGAATCAGGACCTTAATCTTCAAACTGACATCATTGTTCCTCAGCACTTTAGAGAGATCCCTGACTTCAGACTTTTCCAGTGTAATACATCTCCTTATCTTCTGCTGTTGGTTGTTGTTGTTGTTAGGTGTTGTCGAGTTGAGTACGACTCTTAGCAACCCTATGAACAAAAGATCTGAACCCTGTTCTATTCTGTGTCATCCTCACACTTCCTAAAACACAAAAGTCCATTGTGGCAGTCATCATGTTGATCCACCTAGTTGAGGGTCTTCCTCTCCTTCTCCAACCCTCCACCCTTCCCAGCATCATGTCCCTCTCCAAGGAATAGCCCCTCCTAGCAACATGCCCGAAGTATGTGAGGTGAAGCCTCATCATTCTTGCCTCCAAAGAGCACTGTGGCTGTACTCTTTCCAAGGCATGATTATCTATTTGTTCTTTTGGCCATCCATGGGTTGTTCAGTGTTCTTCTTCAACACAAAAGGCATCAATTCTTTTTTTTTTTTTTTTGTTATCCTCATTAATCAACAGTCTTGGTACTAGCAGCCAGGAAATTAAAAGATGAATTGCATTGAGAAAGTCTGCTGTTAGAGACCTCTCCAAATTACTGAAGAGCAATGGTGTCACTCTGGAGACTAAGGTGCATCTGACACAGGCTATGCATCAGAGAGCTGGACAATAACTAGTGATAATAGAAGGATATTTGATGCCTTTGAGCTGTGATGCTGGAGAAGAGTATTGACTATAACATGCTAGGAGAACAAACAAGTTCGTCCTGGAGAGGGTGAAGCCAGGCTGCTCCTTGGAGGCAAGAATTCTGAAGCTTCATCTGACATACTTTGGACATGTTGCAAGGAGGGATCAGTCCTTGGAGAGGGACATCATGCTTGGGAGGGTGGAGGGACAGAACAGGAGAGGAAGATCCTTGATGAGATGGATTGATTCAGTCACTGGGGTAATGGGGATAGGTGTGTCAGATACAATGAGATTGGCAAGGGATAGAGCAGGATTTAGGGCTGTTGTACATAGGGAATCTATGAGTCGCAGGCAACTCGATGGCATATAACAACAACAACAACAGCAACAACAACAACAATAACAACCACAACATCCATGGTCCAGTTTTTAGATGCATAGCAATGATAAGAAAGACTATGGCCTGAATCAGATGCACCTGGGTCCTCAAACTGACCTATTGCTAGTATCATGGTGTTAATTGTGGACCTAAGTAATAGGAAATTATTGACAATTTCAACCTTTATCTGTCATGATACTACCCCTAATGGTGAAAATTTTTGTGTTCTTGATGTTGAGGTGTAATCCGTAATAAAGACTGTAGCCTCTGATGTTCTGCAGCAAGCTCATTAAGTCCTCCTTACTTTCAGCAACCAAGGTTGTGTGATCTGCATAATACAGCTTGTTGAATCTTCTTCTGATTCTGATGCCACATTCTTCTTCATAGAGTCCAGCTTCTTGAATGATTTACTCAGCATACAAGTGGAATAAGTATGGAGAAAAGCTAAACCCTGATGGACACTTTCTTGATGTTAAACCGTGCAGTGTTGGCTTACTCTGTTCAGATAACAACTTTGTTATCAGCAATCTCACAGAAATATTCCCATAAGAACATTGGGGAGTTAGAGAACAAGCTTCATTTTCTTATTTAACTTGATTTTCATACTTAACTCATTGCCATCCAGTCAGAACCAACTCATACCTGACCTTCCATGGATTCCAGAGGATCTAATATGAACAGGAAGTGATTGTCCATCTTTCTCCTGTGGACCAGCTTGTGGGTTGGTAAGACCTTTGGGTTAGCACACAACTTTCTACAGACTACATCATATCATTAAAGATTGATAAGGCTTATGACTTAGCCTTTATAGCTGTGAATAAGCCTTTATTTGGAAATAGCTTTTCCTTTTCTTTATCAGCTTAGTTAAATGAGTTTGTACTAGAGTAGAGTGGGTCTGATCCCTCGAAGTCATCATCATTAGTTCATTGCTTTCTACTTGGAACTGACCCTCTAGCGGGTTATGAGGGGCTGTATATCATATAGTAGGAGATTATCCATCTTTCTTAGGTGGATCCACTGGCGAGTCCAACTGCTGCTGCTGGGTTAACAGTGAAAGTTCCCATGAAGTACCAGGGTGCTTATCAGATGAGAACAGAGCAGGGAAGAGAGTCATGCCCAGTGAGAAGACACTGTGTGAAGATCTATCTTTAACCGAGGAACACCAACCAATAGAAACTGAGGGTATGGAAACTGAAGGAGACAAGGGAGTTCTTTCCTAGAGCTGCCAGGCCAAGAGAGCATGCCAGGCCACTGCCCTGAAGTAGCCTCCAGAAGAGCGGGAATACACATCTGTTCTCTAAGCCATCCACTTTGCTGTATACTTTTTAGGGCAATTCCCACAAACTAAGATAATTTTCCAGGAAATTTACTTTCTTCTGTAGTTCTTCATTTCCTCATCTAGAAAGTGCTATCTCAGAAGAGCATAGTCTCAAGAGTGTTTGGTTTCTGGACTGGAGAGCATCATGCTAAGTGAACTAACTCAGTCCCGTAAGGACAAATACTGTATAAGACCATTATTGTAGAAATAGGTAACTAGTAAGACATGTATGAAGATCTAAGGAGGGGTGGAGCACAGGGGTGAGGTTGAGGGGGGCATAAACATAGGGTTGCACTGTTTGATGGGTGGAGGGAGGGGTGGATAAAGAAAACGGGAAAGATCCAGTGTGAAAAACAATGTATATGAATTTTGTAAGCAAACCAGTATAAAATAAACATTTTATATTAAAAAAAATTGAACTGGAGGAGGGGAAATGGAGGGAGGGGGTAAAATTTGCTGTAATGAATGAAAATCTTAACTTTTCTATAAACTTTCATTACAATCACAATTTAAAAATTTTATTAAAAAGAAACATTTTGTAAACTTTGACTTGTAAATATTTATCAGGATGAATATAGAAGTTAAAAAAATAAAATTTAAAAGTAACAATAAAAAGGTCTTTGGTTTCTAGTCTCTTTACAAGTCTGTGCCTAAAGCTAGCATGACGTCATAACTCAGCGACGTTAGCAGAAGATGGGTGCATGGTGGGATAATGGCAAGAATGGGAATAGTCCTTCAGTCCACTTACTATAACTTCAGGGA